AAACGACCCCTGAAATTCAGATCTGACCCCTCTGCTCACCCCCAAACATCACCTCCTCCTCCTCCTTTGCAGGATTCATCAAAAACAACCCCTGAAATTCAGATTTGACCCCTCTGCTCACCCCCAAACATCACCATGAACCCACCAGCCCCTCCTCTGTGGGATTCATCACAAACGACCCCTGAAATTCAGATCTGACCCCTCTGCTCACCCCCAAACATCACCATGAACCCACCAGCCCCTCCTCTGTGGGATTCATCACAAACAACCCCTGAAATTCAGATTTCACCCCTCTGCTCACCCCCAAACATCACCATGAACCCACCAGCCCCTCCTCTGTGAGATTCATCACAAACGACCCCTGAAATTCAGATTTGCGCCCCAGCTGGGAGGCGAAGCAAGGGCGGGGGGCTCCCCCTGCAGCCTGGCACCCACAGGCAGGGTACAGGCAGAAGAGGAGGGTGAGCAGGCACCAGAGCACGCCCAGGTGGGTCTCCCTGGCGGGGCTGGCCAGGCAGAAGTAGCCCTCGCTGAAGACGTAGACGGCGCCGGCGTAGACGGAGAAATCCACGAACCACTGGTAGTCCAGGAAATGGCGCAGCACTGCGGGGGGACACGTCACCGAGGGGGGACACCCCGGGGGGACACCCATGGGGACACCTCGGGGGGACATCCCAGGGGGACACCCGTGGGGACACCCTGGGGGGACACCAGTGGGGACATCCCGTGGGGACACCCCGTGGGGACACCCGTGGGGACACCATGCTGGGGACACCCGTGGGGACACCTCGGGGGGACATCCCGGGGGGACATCCGTGGGGACACCGTGCTGGGGACACCATGCGGGTTCCCCAGGGGTCACTCCCAGGGGTCACTCCTCACTCCCAGGGGTCACTCCCCACTCCCAGGGGTCACTCCCTGCACCCAGGGGTCACTCCTCACTCCCAGGGGTCACTCCCCACTCCCAGGGGTCACTCCCAGGGGTCACTCCCTGCTCCCAGGTGGGCACAGGGGGGCACAGGTTGGGCTCAGGGGGGCACAGGGCGAGCACAGGGCGGGCACAGGTTGGGCTCAGGGGGGCTCAGGGGGGCACAGGGGGGCTCAGGGCGGGCAGTACCCAGCGCGTCCACGGCCGTGATGGGGCTGGTGTCCAGCTGCAGGTCGATGTCGCAGGGCACCCACAGCCCTCGGTCCTCTGCCACCCCTCCGTGCCTCCTGCGGGACAGCCGGGGGTGCTGACGCTGCGTCACCCCCCCAGCACCCTGGGGTGACCCCGACCCCGACATTTCCCCCCCCAGCACCCTGGGGTGACGCTGACCTGTCCCTCCTGCTCCTGGGGCGCTGCTTCCCGGCCAGGGCGCACAGCTCCTCGTCCGTGGGGTGCTTGTAACGGTACAGGCTGTGGGGACAGCGGGGTGGCGTCCCCAGGGTGCCCCCAGTGTGTCCCCAGGGTGTCCCCTGGGTGTCCCCAGGGTGTCCCCAGGATGCCCCCGGGGTGCCCAGGGTGTCCCCAGGGTGTCCCCAGCGTGTCCAGGGTCCCCAGGGTGTCTCCAGGGTGTCCCCAGGGTATCCCCAGGGTGTTCCCAGGGTGTCCCCGGGGTGCCCAGGGTGTCCCCAGGGTGTCCCCTGGGTGTCCCCAGCATGTCCAGGGTGTCCCCTGGGTGTGCCCAGGGTCCCCAGGGTGTCCCCAGGGTGTCCCCAGGGTGCCCAGGGTGTCCCCAG